AAAAAAAAAAAAAAGAAAGTTAGATTAAATCGAATAAATCACGAAACGATGTTCCACTGGGTATTCGTTAAAATCGAGCGCGTAGAGGTTCGAATAGAGATGATTGGCATCACCTATGCTTTCCACAGGAGACAAGGGAGCATGTTTCGGATAGTGGTTGGTGGTCCAGCTCATAGAATGCAGATGGGTGGTGCACAATTGTACAAACGTATGATCTGACGTTCTCTCTCGGCCACCGTTCCCCAAAGCCGCTATCTAACAGTGGCCATGCAAGTTCTCGTAGGGTATGGTGCATAGGCGCGGTATGGAAGCATTAAACGGGAGAGGCTGGACGGTATCAGCGTTGGTGCAGCTGCAACTACACCTGCCAGATCCTAGGTTTTGTGCAACATCGTGTATTGTGACGGTTCGAGCGACTTCTACATGTGACTATCGACTGTCAACCCTATAGGATAAATACGTCCCAAGTTTTACTACGTTGTCGGTTCTTTTCTATTTTTTATTTATTTATTTTTTATTAATTCATCCTTTTGTTTCGAGGGAACGATCAATCTTTGAAATCGTTTCAACGGTGATACATCCACGTATGTGCGCGCATATTTTTTTTTTTTTGTTTTATTTTTTCTACTCCGCGCTACCGTTGATTTGTTTTATATTTTATTAAGTCTGTTTTTCGACGTTGGTTAACAGTTCTCGAATCGTATTGATTTCAATCGGTGGTCCACGATATATATCCATCGTGTTATTTTTGTCGGGACTATTTCGAGGGCTGACCCTTTATCTCGTCTCGTTTCGTTACGATGTTCAACTTTCGATTGAATCGCGGAGCAAGAGGAGAGATCGGTCGATACAATTATTCTTAAATCATTCTAAATTGTTCGATTTAAATGTCAAAGAGAAAAGTATCCCTGAATCTGTATTCTTCCGAAGACGGAGTATCTCGATCTCTCCTAGTATCTTCTTCAATCTTTGATAAGAAAAAAAGAAAAATCTCATATTCCTTAGAGAGAAATCAAATAATAATATCGTGGAATAATTTCGTCTATTAACTTTTCTCGTTCAGTCTCATTCTATCGCATTGATTTGAATACGGCTGGCCTTTCTCTCTCCCCACCCCTTCTCCAACTAACGATTATTTTATTTTAATAATATTTGTCCGGCCATATTGCTAGCCTATAACCCCTTGTCTGGCCAAGTAAGCACCGTGGTACTCTGGGAACGATTTTCAACGGTTAAAATATTTCCTCGTTAGAGTAGTTTCAACCTGTTTTCTTCTTGCTCTTTTTTCCCCCCTTTACTCGAGATTCCTCCGTACGCAGATTAATTAGTACAGCGTCGTTCAGGGAAAGAATAGGAACGAGAGTGCGCCTTAATTACTATTCCAAGATACCGTCGTAAGTTTCGTAATAAGCGAGAGCGGCAGCGGAGGCGAGGTATAAGTAATGAACGAATCCAGATGTCGTAGTCATCGTCGGATGTCGGATCGAAAAATAATGACCAAAGTGGAAGTTTCAATTGCGCTTTCAACAACGCCCGCCCGCAGGAATATTAGCGCGCCTCCTCCTACCAGGGATCCAATAATCTCGATTCACTTTGACAACAAATCGCGGATGTAATACGAGGAGGAAGCGGAAGTAAAGGAGAGTTGTTAACCGGATACGAACTGACCTATTTCTTTATCGTGACCATGCTCTGATCTTTAGAGAAGGAACGCTGATGACACGGGAATTTTTTTTTTTTTTTTTTTAGATGACGATCTTTCAAACTTCCGGTTGATAGGTTCCCGCAAACCGATAGAAACCTATGTTAACCATCGATTGCGACTTAATTTCCACGTTTCGTCGATGAGGAAATAAACGGGTATAATGATGGTAAATAAAGGATTGGGCGGAGAAATAAAGGGAATGGAGCCGAGGAAAATCGAAGAGGAAGAAAAAAAAGATATGGAATTCGTACATTACAAAACGAAAAATAAAATTCCTCAAAAATTAATGCTTAATTCGAATACTTAGACTCTTCCATTATTTCTCAAGTTACACTCATTGTTCTAAAAGCGGGCTCCTTAAGACCGATTGGATCCATGGTTAAGTAACGGTTGAACGGAGTTTACGAAGTGGCGAGGAAATTAATTTTTCACTGTCGCGAACGGAATATATCACGACGCCTTCGTTTCTATAACGCAAGTTCTGCGCTTCCGTGCTCTTGGGTACAATTTTTCCCCAAAACCGATTCCCGATATCGCGATGACAACGCCGGGTGAGTGTCCCGGTCGAGGGAAAGGGAGTACGCGTACACAAGGGTGAACCGTTGTCGAGACGATCGAGACACCTCGAGTGTTATCCTCGGTTTTCCAAGCGTGTGGCGCTTGCCATTGCTCCCCACGGTGTAACGCTAGACAGAGTTTCGTTCTTGCGATTCTCGATAATCCCACCGCCGAGACTTTCCCGTTACGTACGAATTTTTCCATGGGAGGATTTTTATAATCTTCATAGAATAGAATATAGGATGGATATAAAATGTTTTGTTTGACGATTGAAGAGGCTTTCATCCAATTATTATTGCATTCGCAAAACGTAATCCTTTCGAAAACGGAAATGGAAATGTATAAAACACGCGCGTGAATTTATCGAATTCGAATTTCTTCTGTTTTCGTTTAATCGGAGTGGAATTGTTGGGGGGTTTGAATTTTAACGACGTCATTTACATATTCGAATTGCACGCGTTTCGTTTTCTTCAACGTGGAACATCACGTGTTTAGTGAGAAGCATTCGACTCGAGAGAGATTCGTGAAATATATTCATGCTCGAGGCTCGTTAAGGTGGCGTATTTGTCATCGGCAATGAGCACACCCGCTTAATAATAATTTAACTGTTACAGTGGCTTGTTCGACGGTGACAGTGACAAAGTGTCAAGCGGCCCTGCACACTCTGCAAGCTTTCCCTTTCTTCCGCCCAACGTGCCTCTGCAGGGAACCGCATGTAGACCCGGATTGTAACAGTTTCCAGAACTTCCTCTTCGACCACCCTTGCATCTACGTCTTAAAGAAGGGTAAGTTTAACGTTAAGAGGGCCATTATTTTCTCTATATATTACCCTCGAAAAGTTCGAACAGTTTTTATCCCCTTCGAACTTTGATCAGTCGTTTAAAAACTTGCCTTTTCAAAATGTCACGCGAAGAATTGTAACAAATTTTCGAAATTCGCGAAAAAAAAACCTAAGAAAAAGAAAATGTCGAAAATTTCTCACGTTAATAATTACGTGAAATATTTCCTACTGCTCGTTATCACATCGACTACGTTTATTTAATAAGTTGAGACGATAGTTTTAGATTTCGTTCATTTTCCTATATTCCAATTCGCAATTACTCGAATCTTTCCGCGAATATACGTACAATACGTATATAGAGTCGTAGAATTTTTCTCTCGTCGGAAAATAGGATTTATAGGGGAACAGGGAAAATCAATTAAGATCAATCTAGTCGCCGTGAAAAAGGGATCGAGCTGGACACGCGTTAATCCTCTAACAAGCGTTTAATCGCGAGTCGTGATTGTAACGAGGGATTCCGGCCAGGAACGTCGGGAAAATTCCTCTCGACGGCCTCGATCTCTCCTCCTCCTCCTCCCCCTCCCCTCGATCACTCGGACTCGGAAACTTTTAACGAGTCGCGAACGTTTCTAATAATCTGGCCGATCGTTCGTTTCTTCTTTAACCTTAACTACCATCCGCCATCCGTTAGACGCACTCGAAGCTAGCCACGAGGCGAAAAAAAAGAACGCTAGTCGTCGCCCTCGACTCGCGTGCTCTCGAACCGAATCCGCTCGTCTTTACTCTCGCAGTGTTATACAAAACGAAGGCATCTGGCGTTCTCTGCTACTTCGCCACCTTGCCAGAATCAGATTATTCTCTCGAATATTCTCGATTATTCGCGATCAGCGTTAGGTTAGGTTCGATATTTTTATTTTTCTTTCTTTTTTTTTATCACGGACTTTTTGGAAACGCGTTTTCCGCCTCGATTACTCCCAATTTTAACCCCGCGTTGTTGTATTTTTTAAACCGATTTCGCCATCGCGGAAACGAAATTATTCTTATTTATTTTTTTCCCGCGTCACTCGGATTGTTCGCAACCAGATTGTTGCACGATCTCGATTTTCACGAATTCCAACGGAGAAACGTTATTTTGCTCGCCGTTTCTAATTCATCATCCGTGATCGTTTAATTTTTCAAAAGTTGCATTGTTGGAAAATCACCGCTTACGCGCACCCTCTACGCGCAGCAACCCCCTTGACGCAAGATAGAAATCGCATCGATCTGCTTTATTTTTAAAAACCGTTCCGTGAACGGATTTCGGAAGTAAGCGCGTTACCCTCTTTTTAATTATTCAGTTGTGCGCGATAGAATCGAGGAGCGGGGGAACTAACTCGAGGAAAAATGAGAAATGGCGGATGCATGCAACACGTTACGCGTCAAGGCGAAAGCTCGGAATTGATTCCTTCCTT